TACAAATAAGAGTTTGAAATAAAGGACATAGTCTGTTTCGGATACAAATGTCAACAGAACACGAAAATTGAAAGAAGAGATGTCGGGCCTACGGACACCAGCAAGGCTACCTCGGAGTCTCGTGGATTGAAGGTCGGCTCCCTGACTACTGCTGCGCACCGTAAGCTGCTCCGACACCTGGATCTGTGCAAAAGAGCACAGAGTGTAGCATCAGCACAACCGGCCTCATGTGCTGGTAAGTGCCTAGCCTAAACCCGGCGAAGTAGTGACGAGGCTGGATCGGACTACCACATAAACCTGTGCAGTTATATATACATATACAGCGGGATCGAAATACAGGGACAAGTAATCAATATGGGAGGGGGAGTATGCTATGGGGAAATAACAATTTCAAGTAAAAGTCGTCCAGTAACGAAGGAAATAACACAACTCAGACATTAATAAAGAAATAGAAAGCAACAAGTGCACGGCATCACCCTTCGTGCTTTTACTCTCATCCTCACCAAGCAATGATATAATAAAGTGTGCACGGCATCACCCTTCGTGCTTTTACTCTCTTTCCTCACATATAATCAATAGAATCGGCACGATATGGTACATCGTGCGGCACGGCATCACGCTTCGTGCTTTACTCTCTTTCCTCACAATAAGCAAACAATGCACGGCATCACCCTTCGCGCTTTACACTCTTTCCTCACAATAAACAAACAATGAACGACATCACCCTTCGTGCTTTAACACTCTTCCTCACCCAAACAACAATCACAAACAAGGGGCAAGGGAATAAACAAAATAATAAAAGAAATCCCGGCAAGGGAACACAATTAAACAGTTAAATCCCGGCAAGGGTACAACATCAATAATCTCAACGTCCCGGCAAGGGAAAATAATCAATAAACAACAATATCCCGGCAAGGGAACAATTTAAGTACTCTTTCTCTTCCTTTCACTTTTATTTCATATCTCACTTTACCCACTTGAAGCCAATGCTCCAAGGGTTGACCATTTCATATACGTTCACAATTGAAATAACTTGAGCCAATGCTCCTCGTTGTTCATAGGTCACAATTTCCCTTCACAAGCTTTTCACAACAGATAGGAATCATTACCAAGGCAAGAGAAATACCACGAAATCAAGATATTCGCAAATTAAAGACTCACGGTCATGCTAGACACCAACGTATAGATACTCGTCACCATGCCTATACGTCGTACTCAACAAGAATCAATTAGCAATAAGACTCAACTCCTAGTCCTTAAGCTAGGGTTAGACCAAACACTTACCTCAATGCCTTGAATACAACTCAAGCCTTAATTATAGCTTTACCCCGCGATTCCACCTCCAATTCGCTCGTATCTAATCACAAATTACTTAATTACATTACACAATGCCTAAGTGAATCAAGCCCAATGCATAAAAATGAGTTTCCCAAGTTTTACCCAAAAAGGTCAAATGCCCCCGGGCCCACATGGTCAAAACCCGAGGTTTGAACCAAAACCGATTACCCATTCCCCCACGAACCCAAATATGTAATTTGTTTTGAAATCGGACCTCAAATTGAGGTCCAAATCCCCAATTTTTTGAAAAACCTAGGTTCTACCCTAAACACCCAATTTCCCCATGAAAATCTTTGATTTGAAGTAAAAATCATGTTAGAAGATGTTGAGGAGTGAAGAAAATGAGTTAGAAATCACTTACCAATCGTGTTGGAGAAGAAAGTTTGTTTGGAAAATCGCCTCTTATGTTTTGGGGTTTTGAAAAGTGTAAAATAACTGAAATTCCGTTTATTTATACCCCTATGAAACTTCCTGTGCGGACCGCGCATAAAGGACCGCGGCCGCACAGGCCTCCCTGAAGACCTGCAGATCATAGCCCCGTGCGGACCGCACAAGGCCGACCGCGGCCGCGCAGCATCCACCCGCAGACCGCTCAAAGGCGACCGCGGCCGCGCTGGCCCTCCGCGGCAGCACGCGATTTCTCGCGGACCGCGCAAGAGGGTTCAGAGGCCTGCAATATTTCCTGAACCTGCAACATCTGATCTTTTAAGTCTAAGGCATCCGGAACCTACTCGAAACTCACCCGAGCCCTCGAAACTCCAACCCAAGTATGTACTACCTCAAAAACATCCTACAAACATATTCGTGTGATCAAATCACCAATATAACATCATGAACATCGAATTAAGCCTCGAGATCAATGAGATTTCTCAAAATTCCTATTAAACTCAAATTTCCCATTTAGGGTCCGGATCCCGTCAAACGACGTTCGTTTTTAACCAAACTTTACAGAAACATCTTAAATCACATATAAAACCTGTACCGGGCGCCGGAACCAAAATACGGGCCCGATACCAACACGTTCTAATCAATTTTCATTTCAATTTTTCCTTAATAATTTCAGAAAAACAATTTTACTCAAAAATTCATTTCTCGGGCTTCGGACCTCGGAATTCGATTCCGGGCATACGCCCACGTCCATATTTTCCTACGGACCCTCCGAGACCGTCAAATCACGGGTCCGGGTCCGGGTCCGTTTACCCAAAATATTGACCGAAGTCAAATTCATTCATTTTAATACCAAAATTTAGCATTTTTCACACAATTTCACATTTAGACTTTCCGGCTACGCACTCGGACTGCGCACGCAAATCGAGGCGATTCTAAATGAGTTTTCAGGCCTCGGAAGCACAGAATTTATTTAAAACAGGTGATGACCCTTTGGGTCGTCACAATTTATGAAAATGCTCGAGGAGCTCACCAACTAGAATTAGAGTACGGAGAAAGAAAATAGAAGATAATAGACAAAAAGTAAGAAACATACAACTCCCGACGTTGATCAGATACCGGGGGCACCCCCGATCTTAAAAGGTTTGGATACAAAAATGTTTGTGCAAAAGCCTTTTCCTCAAGTGCGGCTCTGAAGCCCATTCCTACGAAGTTCCGTATGCCGGATATACCTAAATACAACGGGACAACCGATCCTAATGAATACATCACTTCGTACACATGCGAAATTAAAGGAAATGACTTAAATGATGATGAGATCGAGTCGGTTTTGCTGAAAAAATTTGGGGAAACTTTGTCAAAGGGAGCAATGATTTGGTATCACAACCTGCCACCAAATTCCATCGAATCATTTGCCATGTTAGCAGACTCCTTCGTGAAGGCACACGCCGGGGCCATAAAGGTCACAACAAGGAAATCAGACGTTTTTAAGATAAGACAGAGGGATAGTGAAATGCTGAGGGAGTTCGTATCCCGATTTCAAATGGAACGCATGGAGTTTCCACCGGTCACAGATGATTGGGCCGTTCAAGCTTTCATCCAAGGGTTGAACAAGCGGAGTTCGATAGCATCACGACAGTTGAAACAAAATTTGGTTGAGTATCTAGCTGTAACTTGGGCAGATGTCCACAATCGGTTCGAAGATCAAGGTTGAGGACGACCAATTAGGAGCCCCTTCCGGTTTAGTACATCCAAACAGGTTAGCAGTTAAAACCCCGAGGGACAGCGACAGGGAACCAAGTTCAAACATGGAACAATATCAACCATATACCACGGATAAAAGGAACAATGGTTCGGGACGTAATCCCTCCCGGAATAATCGAAGAAACAATCGAGGATAAAATTCACGGGACTTATGAGTAAAAGCGATTTGCAAGCCGATCCCGTAGAGGCACCTCGATTATCGGAATGTAACTTTATCACTGGCCTGATCTTCTACACCCTCTCCCTCCTTGCCCGAAGGGTAAATAGAACCATACCAGGCCTCATCCTCAAGGCGATGTACAGCTTCCTCACCGTCCTCATATTCTTCACCACGACAAGGCGTAGTCGGGTCGTAGCCACAAGTAACCCAAGCCTCACGAGCCTTGACCCGAGCTTCCTCAAAGTCTGCGGCAGGGACGGAGCCCACCACATGTAACTCACGAAGTACATCCAATCGGGCCTCAGCGTGAATCCACTCTTCATACAACTCACAAGGAATGTTGGGGAAGTCAGAAGCCGTAGATGAAGAAGGTCGTGCAAGTAGTTTGGCCTTCTCGACCTCTAGAGCGGCAACTTCATCATAAAGATCAGAGGTCTCTTTATCCAAATCCCCAATCCTTTCATCAAGCCGTTCTTCTTTATCCCTCATTGTCGATAAGTCATTTTCTTGCTCAGAAGGACGGGTTCGGTTTGCCACTTCAAGGAAATCCACCCTCCTCTGAGCCTCCGTCTGAGCAAATTCCGCCTTATCAAGCTCTTCCTATTTCTAAGCAACCTCGCCACTAAGAGCCTCCTCCTTGAACTGACATTCTTTGAGTTGGACTCGCAGCAAAACCACATGGGCTTGGAGATCGCTGTATTGGGCCTCTACGCCCCTACTAAGCTTAACCTCCTCCTCTTTTCTCCTCAACATCCCTTCAAGGACGCTACATTTCCCCACAGCCTGCACCAACTCCTCGTCCCTCTTCTTTAAGTCCTCCATCAGGACCCGCACTACCAAAGCGGGAACAACTATAATGTTATGGGTCAAAGACATCCAAGTTTTTTGTGGAGTTCACCTAGTGGGAGTCTGAACTCATGGCAGCAAAATAATCCTAGACCTCAGGGTGAAGGACTACCAGGTTTTCAGTTACAGCAGAGGCAACAATACCAGCCACAATAGCCAAGTCAATCTAGTATGGAAGCTCTCATGAAGGCATTCATCAATAAAATAGATGAAAAATTTGAGACTTAGGGCACAACTATACGGAATTTAGAAAGACAAATGGGACAAATTGCAAATTTGTTATCTGAGAGGGCTCCCAGTACTCTTCCCTCTGACACTGAAAAGAACCCAAAGGAAACAATCAAAGTTGTATCTCTCAGAAGTGGAAAAACATTGACAGACCTTGTGGTGAAAGCAAGACCTAAGATGGTGAACAAGTAGACTGAGACACCAACAGAGAAAAAGAGTAAAGAACAAAAAGGCCAGAGCAGTGGGGGTACAAAAGGAGATTGAAGAAAGTAGACATATGCCAGCTCTACCATTCCTTCAAAAGATGAAGCGGGAGAAACTTGACAAATGTTTTGGGTGGTTCTTGGATATGCTCAAGAAACTTTATGTGAACATTCCCTTCACAGAGGTACTCACTCAGATGCCTGCTTATGCAAAGTTCTTGAAGGAAATCCTGTCTAGCAAGAGAAAATTAGAGGAGACAACAGTGGTGAAGCTGAATGCCCACTGCAGTGCCATATTGCAAAAAAGAATTCTCCAAAAGTGTGGGGATCCAAGAAGCTTCACCATACCATGCTTGTTGGTGAGTGAGAAATTCGACAAGGCCCTCTACGGTTCTGGTGCGTCTATAAATCTAATGCCTCTGTCTGTATTCCGGAAGCTGGAAGGTGCGCTTGGAGTGATAAAATCAATACCAGCGTCCCTACAACTGGCTGACCAGACCACCATTTTACCTGAGGGAATCATTGAGGATATTCTAGTGCGGGTGGACAAATTTGTGTTCCTCGTAGACTTTATTTTGGTGGATATGGAGGTGAACAAGGAGGCGCCTCTAATTCTATGGAGGCCATTTTTATGTACAGGTAGATCTATCCTTGATATATGTGACGGGCAGCTTATGCTCAGAGTGGTAAATGAAAAAGTGGTGTTCCAGATGAAGAGGATGATGAAATACCCCACTGATGAGGCATCCGCCTACTTGTGTTTCAAGCTAGATGTTGTTGGGGAATTGACTGAAAAATACAAGTTTGGCAAGCTTGTGGGGGATACTCTAGAGAGGTGTATTACTCAGTCTAGTACAGCGGAGGATGAAGATCCTGAGATAAAGAAAGAGGCTGAAGCCCTTGAAACTGAGAATCAAGTGGTTGATGAGGAGAAACTTAAAGAGGAGGCTTCTAAGCCTAATGTGGAATTGAAAGTCCTCCCCACTCACTTGAAATATGCTTTCCTTGAAACTAACAATTTTCCTATGATTATTTCTGCTACTTGATAGGTACACAGGAGCAAAAGCTGGAGGAGCTGCTGAAAAAGCACAAGAAGTCCATTGGTTTGAGTAGTTGATATTCAAGGAATCAGTTCAGCCATTTGCATGCACAAATATTTGTGGGAAGAAAATAGCAAGCCAGTAGTGCAGTCCCAATGCAAATTGAATAAAAATTTGGAGGAGGTAGTGCACAAGGAGATCATCAAATTTCTAGATGCGGGAGTGATTTTCCCCATCTCTAATAGCTAGTGGATTAGTACAGTGCAAGTTGTAACTAAGAAGGGGGCGTGACAGTGGTAAAGAATGAAGATAATGAATTGATCCCCACAGGAACAATCACTGGGAGGAGAATGTGCATTGATAATAGAAGGCTAAATGATGCAACAACGAAAGACCACTTCCCACTCCCTTTTATTGATCAAATGCTCGAGAAAGTGGCTGGACATGGATGCTACAGCTTCTTGGATGGTTACCCGGGCTACAATCAAATACCCATTGCCCCAGAAGATGTTGAGAAGACCAGATTCACTTGCCCGTCAGGTATTTTTGCTTACAGAAGGATGTCGTTTCGATTGCATAACGCACCTGCCACTTTTCAGAGGTGCATGATGTCTATATTCTCCTATTTAAATGTAAAGTGTCTAGAAGTATTCATGGATGATTTCACCCTCTTTGGTGTTGACTTTGAGGATTGCTTGAAGAGTTTGGAGCTCGTGGTTGAACGTTTTGAAGCCACTCACTTGGTTCTTAACAAGGAGAAGTGCCACTTCATATTGAAAGAGGGAATTGTCTTGGGCCACAAAGTGACTGCACATGGAATTGAAGTTGATAGATCTAAGGTTGATGTAATTGCTAGGCTCCCTCCACCGACTTCTGTGAAGAGAATAAGGAGTTTCTTGGGACATGCTGGGTTCTATAGGAGGTTCATTAAAAACTTTTCCAGCATTACCAAACCATTGACTGCATTGTTAGTGAAAGATGTCAAGTTTATTTTCAATGTGGAGTGCTTAAGAGCATTCGAATTGATAAGAGAAAAGTTTGTGAGTGCTCCTATTATGGTGACACCTGATTGGAGCCAGCCATTTGAGATAATATGCGATGCTAGTGATGTAGCTGTGGGAGCAATACTGGGGCAAAGAAAAGATAAGATGTTTAGGCCCATCTACCATGCAAGCGGGACGTTGAATGATACTCAAGCCAACTTTTCCACTACTGAGAAAGAGTTCTTTGCTGTGGTCTTTGATTTTTACAAGTTTAGATCATACCTGGTGGGGAGTAAAGTGATTGTACACACGAATCACTCAGCCTTGAAATATCTATTGAGTAAGAAGGAGTCCAAGTCGCGTCTGATGTTGTGGGTGTTGTTACTCCAAGAGTTTGACTTGGAGATCAAAGATAGGAAGGGAAAAGAAAATCAAGTCGCCGATCATCTATCTCGACTTGAGAGACCTCCAGTTGAAACAATTGACGTAAGAGAAGATTTCCATAATGAGCAAATTTTCTCCATTGCTGCGTCCTCCGAAAGACCGCCTTGGCATGCTGATGTAGCCAACTTTTTGGCTAGTGGATGGTGGCCTCGTGACCTCTCTCGTGATCAAATAAAGAAGCTTCAAGGTGAGGTAAAAAGTTACTTTTGGAATGACCCTTTCTTGTTTAAATTGTATGCAGATGGTGTGACTCGAAGGTGTGTACCTAAAGGAGAGATGGCGAGCATTCTTTCTCATTGCCATGATGGAGCAGCTGGACGACACTATGGTGGAAATCGTACTACAGCAAAGGTCATGGAAGCAAGTTTATATTAACCTACGTTGTACAAAGACGCACGGGTGTTTATAGCTGCATGTGATAAGTGTCAAAGGGCAGGTAATACTTGTAAGAGGGATGAGATTCCACTAAACTCCATTATGGTATGTGAAATTTTTGACGTTTGGGGCATTGACTTCATGGGTCCGTTCCCATGGTCTCATTCTTATGAGTATATCCTAGTTGCCGTTAACTACGTCTCAAAATGGGTCGAAGCAATCCTTACTAAGAGCAATGATACTTGGGTGGCGTGCGAGTTCTTACGGAAGAACATCTTTACCCGCTTCGGGACACCTCGAGTGATTATCAGTGACAATGGTCGTACTTTATGAACAAGTAGTTCGCTGCATTGTTGTCTAAGTATGGGGTCATACACAAAAGAGGGACCCCGTACTATGCCCAAACTAGTGGGCAAGTTGAAGTGGCTAACAATGAACTTAAACGAATTCTTGAAAAGACGGTTAATGCTTCTCGTAAGGATTGGCCTGTAAAGTTGGATGAAGCTCTATGGTCGTACAGAACTGCGTTCAAAATAACCATATGGACTTCACCACTCAAACTAGTGTATGGAAAATCATGTCACCTACCTGTTGAGATAAAACATAAAGCTTATTGGGCAATTAAGATGCATAATCTTGATCTTAGTCTCGCAGGTAAACACAGTTGGTTGGCGTCGACGAACGAATTGGAGGAGTTAAACTGGACGCATATGAAAATGCGCAAATTTTCAAGGAAAAGACAAAAAGGTGGCATGATCGTCTGATTAAACCAAATTTTCATGTAGGGGACAAAGTCTTACTATACAATAGTAGACTTAGGTTGTTCCCCGGAATATTCAAATCAAGATGGACAGGTCCGTATGTGGTTAAACTAGAGGTGTCATAGGGGGAACCCAGATCGGTTGAAACCCAGGTCCGTATGTGGTTAATCAAGATGGTTAATCAAGATGGACAGGCCCAACCCAGATCGGTTGAAACCCGGACCGGCCCGGCCCGGTACATAGGGGGACGGGTGGGTTGGGTTATTGGGGTTAGGGGGTTGGTCCGTTCACTTAAATTCATCCGGTTAACCGGACCGGTCAAACCCGGTCAACCAAAATCCCTGTAGAACCGGTTAACCGGCCTGAACCGGTTTAAAGGCTAGATTTCAATTTTTTTTTTAAGGTTTTAGAGTCTAAGGCAATGCAAAATCTTTGAATTTACTCTTTTTTCATTAATTTACTTGATGTTAAATGTAAACCTTTCAATTTGTAAGTTTGAATTTTAAAATAAATATAGCACTTGCAATTTATAAGTCCAATTTATTTTCCATCTTCATTGTATTCTTTATATTTTTACTTTATATTAATATAAATTACAATAGTTATACTAAATACAAAAAAATAAAAAAATAAAAAATAAAAAAAACAATAACCGGCCAGCCCGGCCCCTTGGACCCGTAACTCTTACGGTTCTTTTTTTACCTGGATGAACACGAACTCGTTAATCCTGGTAACCCTTAACCCATAATTGGCTCGGTTCAAAACCCGGACGGTTTCAACTTTTCCCTACCCAGCCCGGCCCGGCCCACCTGTTAGACACCCTTAGGTTAAACACATCTCACTGTATGGCGCCATTGAAATATAGGATGAAGAAGGGAATGAAAGCTTTAAGGAGAATGGGAATATGTTGAAACCGTACCTTGTTGAAGGATTTGACAAGCAATCCTCTAGCATCGTGATAAAATGAGCCTAAGTGACGGAGTCAAGCTCACGACTATAACTCAGAACTACTTTTATCCCCTTTTCTTGCTTTTGCAGAATAGTTAGATAAGTGTAGTGTAGGATTATTAGATTTTTAGGAATTTTGGTACTTGTTTGGGTAGGTATAAGCATGAATTGAACATAAAATAAGTACAAAATAGAGTCGGGGTGCAACCCGTGGCCTAAAACGCAAAAATTGCCGGAACTCTGACAAATTTGGCCTAGCACGCTACATGGGGCGCTGCGCTAGGTTATTAGGCTCGACTTTGACGGAAACATAGCTCTCTGGATTTCCCCACTACCGCGCTGCGTGGGGCGCTGGCAGTACAAAAATTGCGGCTGGTTTGTTTTAAAAAAAACAAACAAAAACAAAAATTAAACTATACCTAAAGCAGAACCCCCTCCCCTTTTCCCACATCTCTCTTACTCTATTCTTTCACTTTTCTCTCTGTCACTCCAAATCTCTCTTCTTTTCTCCATTTTTCTTCCTCAAATCCTTCATCCTCTCATCTTCATTCATCATCAAGGTAAGTAACTCTATTTCTTCTTTTCTCTTTCTCTTAGCTTTTCTTATTGTTTTATTTAATATTAGTTAAATTCCCCTAACCCTAGGTAGTTTATTGTTGTTAATCTTTTGAGCTATTTTCTTCTATTTTGGCCAAAAATTATGCATAAACTTGACTGGTATTCATTGTTCTTATGATTATGGGTGATTTTTGATGTATTTTGATGGTGTTGAAATTATTTTGTGATGGAGTTTGGTGGGGTTGCCAATATGGCCGAAATTTGGAGGGAGTTTTGAGAAAAATTGGAGCACCTTGTGCTATTATTACATTGTGGCGGTGTTGTGGTTGTTGTAAGGTGGTTGATTGGTATGTTTGTGTAGTAATCTTAGAATAATTGAAGTTGAAACTATGAGGTAAATTTGGTGACTACCATGTGTTTGATTAAATTCCTCAATGACTTAGAAGGTGACATTGTAGCTTAATTGGAGGATAATTGTTATGAGATAATGTGATACTAGATGATAAGTATGAGGTGGGAGGTAATGTTCATATGTTGTGAAACTTTAGCGTATTAGCCGGGAGTACTAATCGATTGAACACCCCGATAATGTGTTGCTAAGTGCTAATTGGGATGTCCGATTCATGCTATGTGCTTGTGTAGTGTTGTATTGTTACTTCGAAATTTTGTAGTAGTGAATAAGTATAACTTCTTATTTTTCCTGTCTTAGTTACTAGTTTAGCTTCTTGATTGTTTGTATTAGTGTAGTCTGTGGTTGTGTTGTTATATTATTATGTTGATTGTTGGGTGGGTTGGTGAATACGTGTGGCGTGCTTTCAATGGGATAGTCTGAGTCCCCAATATACATTGTACTTGTGAACATGCCACCTCATCAATACCAAGAGTGGGGTGGTTACCCCATTTGGTCTTGTTTTTGTTTTAAGTGTTGTGGCTAAGA